TCATGTTCTCCATCATCTCTATAACTTATTTTAACTTCCAGATGAATAAGAGAATGCCACGTGTCCTGAAAATAATAATAACAATAATAATAATAATAATAATAATAATAATAATAATATTTTATGGTGCCAACATTACCCTCTGCGGTCCTTAAAAATAATGTTTACTTGAATTTTTGAAGGGCCAAACCAAGTACACATACTATCATTTTTGTGCCTTGAAAAAAAAAGCAATTGGCCATCAATTTGAAAAGATAAGTCATTCTTAACCACTGATTTAAATGCATAGACTTTTCCTAATCAAGTTCAACATTTCAAATGGCTAAGTTGTTCTTTCGTGCATCAAACTCATCAAAACAACGCTTAAAGATGATTGTTTTATTAGTCATTTCATCAAAATTAAACTTTGATATGACCACAAATCTAAAAAGGATTTTGAACACCAAGAACCATAGTACAAGATGGCCTTAAAAATTCAAATTACTTGACATTTTAAAAAATTTCAAAAAATTCAGATTCATGAATATTAAATTGTTCATCATTCTTAGCCATGTTTGGCTTAAGAATATGTTCTTTGATCAAATAACTTTCATCATTCATTGACAAATGGGGTTATTTTTCTATTTTATCCATTAATGGATTATGAAAATCCTCCATGTGAGTTTCATCATTTCTCGGTCTAATGGGTTGTTCCATTTTAGCCATTGCTTATGAAAATCTTTCATAGATATCTTATGTTTATGGTTTGACTCTCTAAGAATAGGTTTGTCAACCCCCCGAGTCTTATATGAAACATTATTTTTAACCATGCTTGGCTCAACAATATACTTTTTAGCCATGTTATTTTCATAAATTGGCTCTTTAAAGATGAGTTTTTTGACCTTCTGAGCCATTGATGAAATCAACTCTTTACTTTTGCTATTTTCAACCATGGAAAAAATTTGAAAAAATTCACCAATTTTGGCCATTAAAACCTCAGTTAAAGACTTAGTAGTGAGAGTTGACAACTCATCATTCCATTGGCGAATTTTCATATGAAGTTGACGAATTTCTCTAATTAAATGGTGTCTTTTTTCTTCTACCAAATAATATTGTAAGGGATGAAAGTTTATTTCATTAAGAAAATGGATCTCTTCTTGAAGATCCATTATCTTTTGTTTACGCCAATAGATTTCATCTAGGCTATTTAAAATGGATGAATCCAATACATTTTTCATTTCTTACACTTGACATCCCACTAGGCGTGCCAAAAATTGTTGGCTTAGTTTTCCTACGAAGGAAAATATCATAAATGCGAGCGTGCCAACAAGGATTAAAAAATCCTTACAGATTAAATTCAAGCCAATTATCAAGTGATTGCGTTAACGGTTCTTTTGCCTCAACAAAGAGGACTTCAAAATTGTCAAGTGTAGAGAAAAGAAAAATTAAAAAAAGAAAAAGGGAGACGGAGAAAGATGATTGAGTGAACAATCAAAGTAACAATTACTTATATTTACTCCTATGCTTTGAAAAAGAAGTGCATAAAATGCTTTAAAAAGGAAATACTGAAAATAAATGCTTCGAAAAGGAAGTACGTAAAATAAAATGCAGAAAATATAAATGATAAGAAAAATAGAAATCAATTGTATTTGATTTGAGTTTTGGATCTTTTACAATTTTGCCATTGATGGCTATTTATAGAGGAAAAAATACAAAAATAACTACTTAGTAACTACTCATTTCTTCCATCTTCATCTTTGTCTTGTCATGTGTCCTTCCACTCATCCACTTTGTCCTTCATGTTCTCCATCATCTCCAAAACTTATTTTAACTTCTAAATGAATAAGAGGACGTCATGTGTCCTGAAAATAATGACAATAATAATAATATAATAACAATAATTATAAGAAGAAGAAGAAGAAGAATATTTTATGGTGCCAACAACGACAAATTTATTGTTGGACACCTCAATTTTTACAAATTCTTTTAATACTTCCCAACCCCTTCCAACCTCTAACCACCACTCCCTACCCCCAAAACCCTGTCTACCCTCATATGTTTCTTTTTTTCTTCTTCTCTCATTTGTCTTCTTCTTGTTGCTATTGCTATTGCCACTTCCTTTTCTTTGTCATTGTTATGAACCCCTCCTCCAGTACTAAACAAACCTAGTCTTCGTCTCTGTCCCCACCTCTAACCTTTTCCAACCCATCATCTACTTTCTTCGCTGCGAATCTTAGATCTAGAGTTTAAGAAAGAGAAATAAGGACGATGAGAAGAAGACAACGAAAAAGAGAATGTGAGGGGGGTCATAGATGACGAGAAAGGGTGGGGGCATCAGGTGACCTAGTGGCGGAGATGGTTGGGAGGGTTGTTGGGGGTAAGATTGAGATTATTTGAAATGTTCAAACCAAAAAAAAAAAAATATTGAGGCCTAGTTTGGGAAGACTAAATAAGTGTACTTTTTGACTTTTTTTGTATTATGTGTAGAAAAAGTAGAGAGGAGATGTTGATTGATGTGACCCAAAAAAGATAAAAAGATGAAATAAGTACACTTTTTTGGCAGTAGCCAAACTTGGCCTGCATTTCAAATTTGGTGGGGGTGCCAAATAATTTTTTAAGATTCATTTTGAGCTGATCATGTCACATTAGTAGACAAATAAACTCAATTTATCGCTCATCAAATTAATGCCACTACATTAGTAAAATTATTGCTCAATTTCTCTATATCTATAATCTCTTAATCCGCTAATTAAACATGACTATGCAGGCTATTGAAGAAGATGGAGTATGTGGGCCACCAAGAAAGAGACCCATTTGCCCATTTGTCCATATACTTGTCAGCCCTAGTAACATGCATTTCGGGACCCATAGACGGTGAGTGACAAAAGGTATTTGGAGAAGGTAGTTAAAAGTAATTTTTTTTAATTTTTAATTAATTTTTAATTATATTATCTCTTATATTTTTTATATATATATTTTAAAAAATAGTTAGAAAGTCAATTTTTAATATTCTATCCGTCCTAAAATATTAATCCCTTATTCTATTTTTTATTGTCCCAAAATATTAGTCTCTCTTTATAAATCAAGTACAAAAATAATATAAATTTCCTATTTTGCCCTTCTTTTAAATTAATAAACAATTTAAAAAGTACAATTATGACATTGATATTCTCAAAAAATGTACTATCAAAAGGGTAATTTTGAAAAATTAACTTTTTTCAAATACAATAAGTGTACTACTAAAAAGAGTTAGATTCCCCAAAAGGGACCAATATTTTGGGACGGAGGGAGTAATCTATTTAAAATCACATCTGAATGGTCTCTGACGGATTGGGACATGTATGCCCTTGGGATCCTTGTAGAATTTTAAATTAACGAAATGGAAGTGATGATATGATGTATTAATTTTAAATAAGAGTAATATTTGCTAATAAAAAAGAAAATCATTTTCACTCTTCTTTATTTTAAATATATATATTTTTTATTTTTATTATACATAATTATATTAATACTTTTAACACAAAATACAATACGAAAAAAGTTCAGAAATTTGAAAATATGTATAATAAAAAAAAGTTTAAAAACTATTTAAAATAAATAAAGTAAGAATAATGACTCCCATAATAATTGTCGGAATAAGTGGTTGCCATGATATTTGAGGAGGTCGGAGGTAGTTTTGAGTGGAGGTGGGGGATTATGCGTAGTATTTGGAATTGTTAAAAGGGTCATGCTGCATCCCCTAAAAACATCCCCTAATCCCTCTAATTTCCATATCAAGTAAAAAAAAAAAAAAAAAAAAGGAAAAAGTTGTCAAAATTGGAAATTAGGGGGATTAGGGGGAAGTTTTTAGGGCTCCAAATCATTTCCCTTGTTAAAAAGGTAGTCTGAAAGGGTTTTGGAAGGGACCTTTTGGAGCATGAGAGAGAGTGGAGGGAAATGAGAGTGAGGAGAGAAAATGAATACTGTGAAACACTTTTTTTTTTTTATAACTTTTTGAGAACAATAAAAATAGCCACTAAAAATGTTTATTTTCCATCTTTAGAACTTTTGAAAATCAAAAATAAAAACAAAAACTTTATACTTGAAAATTTTGAAAACAATTCAATCATCTATTTGTGAATGAAAATGACTATTTTTATTGGGCAAAAGATACTACATAGGAAATTGACAAATATGAATAAGAACGATGCATCTTACTTTATTTTTTCCATTTTCTAATAAAGAAGATTGAAGACCTCTACAACACCAAACACCATTCATTTTGACATCAAGGGGTCCATCACTGAATCATTCATCTCATACTCTGTGTATCAAGTTGTTGGATGGATGTCTTCTTCATCAAAGGAAAGGAAAACCCATTTGGCTCCATGGGAGTAGTAGTAGAGCCTAGCAGGACTTGAAAGGAGTTTTTGCCTATTATAATTGCATTACGAGCACCTTCAGTTTCTTCAATCATTGCTTCTTCTTCTCTACCTTACATTATCATTATTTTTTATATTTTTTTGGTGCTACGGACAAAATGATCAATCCTACTTTTTAGAAGATATTTCTTTGCCGGAACTGATTGGCTAGTTGAATCACATCTATTAGGATATAATTTTCCTCAGCTCTGTCCCATGTTTAGCGTGTTAAGATGTTAAGAGATTTATGAATAGATAGATATAACACACCCCACAAACACACAAAAAAAAAAAAAAAAAAAAAAAAAAAAGGAAGCAAATGATGAATAGAATTAGTAGAACATCTGTTTGGAACTGTGGTAGTTGAGAAAACATTGACAATAAAATAAAAAATAAGGTCCTCTTTTAGTTTCTAAATAATGAAAAACTCAACCCAGAATGTAAAATAGTCTTTAAATGGCTTAGTTTAGCATTCATCTCTAAATCTCTTCTTGTTTTTTTTATACTGTGTTAAGAACATAGATGATTACATAGTTTATTTTTCAAGTGCAGTTTGCAGAGGCAACAACACATCGCTATTTTAGAAAATAAATACCAACAAAATCTTTAAAAACAAAAACCAAAATGAAAATAAACAGCTTTATAAATTAAAATCCAATAAACATAAGATACATTGCTCTCCTTCCTTCCCACATTTTGACAGAGTAAATTAACAAATAAATGTAACATAGACCCCCCAACCATGTGTACTTATATACTTAACCCAAATATCACAATGGAATAATAGGTATGACAATGAGGACGATCACAAATAATGGCTAGAACATTAATAATATGATTTTAACTGAAACCCTACTCATGCATATTCCAAAGATCTCTCTTCTGATAGATGACATGATCAAACGGTGGAGCTTTTCTTATTGGGTTCAAAAACGTATTTAATCAGTGATTCCTTGATCGACAACAGCTCTGGGAACTCATTTTTCAACTTGGAAGCATCCATTTCGTTGTTGCTACGAGGGGCGACGATTACCTTGGCTTGTTCATCGAGTGTGAAATTAACCCACTTGAAATTAGGGTCAATGTAGCTCTTGTACATCTCCAGAATTTCATTATGGCTTACGACACCAGGGTTTGTGAAGTTCCATATGCCTCTCAAGTTCCTTTTCGCCATCTCAATCGAAATGGGTAAAAGCTCATCCAAGATCGTCATGCTGTTGGGGATATTCACCACTTTGTCATACTTCACAATTTTTGTGATGAAGTTACGGGGGTTGCTCAGGTCAGATGATATTGGCATTCGGACTCTGAGGGTGCAAACATTATCATATTCTTTCAGAAGTTCTTCAACCTGGTAATAAAATACAAATAAATAAATAAATATAATTAAAAAGTCTGAATTGGTATCCATATTGCAAATTTCCAATGAGTAAGAAGTAGAAAGGATGATAGGAATTACCATGGCCTTGGTTTTTGAATAGAATGAGCCAATGAAATTGGGAGTGTCTTCCTCCTTAAATCCAATGCCTGTTCCCATCGGATGTGCATCATTGTACTCAAAAATGCAACCAGTAGCGAAATTCAACATTAGAAGTCCATGCTCTCTGCAAACATCTGCTAAAGTTAGCGTACCAACAACATTGGTGCGGATTGTCTCTGGTTTATGAGACTCGCACCAATCCACATTAGGTCTACCAGTCACTCCAGCAGCGTTGAGCACATGGGTAGGCTTGACACTTTGTAAATCTGCCAAGAGTTCAGAGCGTTCCTGCAAGTGCCCTTTTCCATACTCATAGGGTATCCCTTGTTTCTCACAGAGTTTCCCCAAAAGGCCACCAATCCACCCAGTTCTACCATAAATCAAGAACTTGAAAGGTTGTGTTTTCTGGGTAGAAGAAAGATTGCTTTTAGAAACAGGAATCACCATTCCTTTCTGTCCGGAATTGTTTACCACTTGAGAGGCAGCGGAAATTGAAACATCAGAAGCGTTTCTTTCGATTCCTGGCATCATCAACATTCTTGGATGAGGGAGAAGAGCCCCCGAGACATCTCCCCACCAATCGGGATTGCTAACATACCATTCCATAGTCTTCTTAAGGCCTTCCTCCCAAGTGGTCCGTTCAGACCATCCCAAATTCTTGAGCTTTTGATGATCCAAGAAGTACCTCTGGTCATTAAAAGGCCTATTCTCCACAAACTTAATCACTGAATTTGAGTCCAACGAAAATAGTCTGCAAATATCCTTGGCCACATCAAGCACTCTCCTTTCCTTGTGTGTCCCAATGTTGTAAACATGACCTACTTCACCCTTGTGGAGAATGATTTCGAAAGCCTCGGCAACATCCTCACAATAGAGGTAACTGCGAACGTTGGACCCATCTCCATGAATTGGAAGAGGCTTTCCTGCCATGGCTAAGAGTATGAATTTGGGAATCAACTTTTCGGGAAATTGATTTGGCCCATACACATTGTTTCCTCTCGTGGTTATCACTGGTAACCCATATGACCGTGCGTAGGCCATCACAAGCATCTCCGCACCGGCTTTAGTAGCAGAATATGGGTTTGTAGGGAGGAGCTGCGAAGCCTCATGATTTCCTACAAGTGCATCCTCATCTGTTTCTCCGTAAACCTCATCAGTGCTTACATGAATGAATCTCTTGATTTGACCGGTGACTTTACAAGCCTCCAAAAGGACATGAGTGCCATAAATATTGTTTTTGGTGAACTCAAAGCTGTTTCCAAAGGAGTTGTCAACATGGGTCTGGGCTGCAAAATGCATTATCGTGTCGATGGACTCAGTAAGGAGAATGAAGTTGACAAGGTCAGCACTACCGATGTCTCCCTTGACAAACTTGAAATTTGGGGATGATCGAGAAGGCCTGAGGTTCTTGAGGTTTGAACAGTAATCAAGCTTGTCCAGAATGACAATCTTGTAGTCAGGATAGTTACGGATAAGCCGGTTGGCGACATGGGATGCAATGAAGCCAGCAGCTCCAGTTATGAGGATGTTTTTGGGTGTGTATGGATCCATATCCAAATAAACTACATATACCGCATACAAAATTAGATTCAGAAACTGAAACAAGTCTGCAAACTAAATATAAACAATGCAACAACATATCTAGGAAAAATTAGGTCCGAGGAGATCCTTAATCATGAAGGAGAATGAACTTCCAACAATCCAGGAATACTATGGCTAACAAAATGAACGTTAACTTGTCTAACGGAAGAAAATTTTATGCAACACATATGGCCTCCTCCCACTAGCTCTTTTTAAGTCAATTTCAACTTTTAATCTACCCTCACTAGATCACAACATTTTATCACCCATCAACCATATCAAAACTATCCATTATCAACCCCATCATGCTCTTGAACACACCCAATCAAATTCACTCTAGTTTTTTTTCTACCCTTTAGCTCTATGATCTAGTAATGATCTCTATATTGAAGAACATATCAAGGTTTAAAAGCAGACAAGGGGGTGCTGGGTAGACACCAATACCCATTATGGCCATTATAGCGGTGTGATTGAATTTCATTGGTGCAACAGTCACCACCGTTACCTGACACTTATGGCCGTTACATTTCAAATCAATTTTTGCTCATTTTCTTGAATTTTAGCTTTCATCTTTTATTTATTTACTCAACATTAAATGTTGAACATAGTTTTTATATGTAATTGTAACTTGTAAGTTGTATGTTATGTTTACTTGTATAACTTGAAAATATGAATCACATGTGTATTATAAATTTATGACACATGAAATCATTAAATGTTGAAAGAAAAATATGTCAAAACTCTATTCATAGAGACTTTATTGGGTCACGTTTCAAAAAATATACTAAATCCTCTGAAAACCATTTTTGTGAGGTTGTGCAAAAGTAGAAAAATTTCACAGATCCCGTCGTTGCAACCGTTATGCTACACCCATCACACCCCACAAACACATCACTACATTATAATTACAGTAACTGCAACAGTTACTTGAAACCTTGCAGAAGAGGGGGAGGGCGTGTTGTGAGCCCTTGAGAACAAGAAGAGAGAATGTAATCTCTTCCATTTAGAATATTTAATGAAAATATACGATTTTGAAAGGCCATGGTCAACTCTAGGTTTTTCTCTCCCTTTTTTTTTTTTTTTTGTAATTTTCCTATACATTTGTCTCCCAGAAAAGCATTATGATGGTATTTGCCATAGAAACAAACAAACATGGACCACCCAAACAAGCACTTTAAATCCATAATTAAGATTTTTAAGACAAACCAAAAACTGCCAAAAATATAAGACAAGCCAAAACAATGTTCTGATGTACATTCCATGATTTAGAAAGAAACAAATTCATATACAGAGAGCTGAATATGAATAATTGTAAACAAAATTCAAGGGCAGTTTTCATAAACGGTATATTAAAACAACAAAACAAAGCAAGAAAAGAGGGGGGAAAAGAAAAAAGAAAAAAGAAAAAAGAAAAGCCAATGAGGGCACATTTGAAAAAGCTAGAAAATAACAAAATGTTCCTATCCCATAGAATTCCGTTCCTCACAGATTCCAAGATCTGCCAAAAAAATGCTAAAAAAACAAATAAAATGCAAAAGCATACATCAATCACAAAACCCAGAAAAAAGAGAAACAGACCAGTTTAAAAGACATTAATGACAATAAATTAACACATTAAAAAAAATAAAAAAAATTTTAACAGGAACAACATTAATTAAGCACGAATACCATTTAGGTTTCTGTGAGATCTAATTGTTGTCAATTATTAATTTTGTAGAACTGTAATCAAAGCAATGGCATATACAAATAACTGAATCACAAATAAAAATAGAAACAGAGATTGTTTGATTGACTTACATGAAAATGAAGGATCTTGAAGGAGGAAAAAGGAGAGATTTTTTGTGGGTATTCTAAGTTTGAGAGAGAGAGAGAGAGAGGTGAATAAGTAGAAAAAGAGAAGAAGATCTGAGTGAGGAGAGAGAGGGTTAAGAGTGGGCTATTTGTAAGCAAATCCCATTTCCCCCAACAACTCACATTGATTTTTCACATTCTTTGTGTTTCCATTCATTATAATATTGATAAATAATGAGAGGGAATGAGAGAGAAAACCAGAGAGAGGAGGACCTGTATCTGCCGTGCCATGAGTCATTTATGAACTGAACGCAACGAAACAGCAGGGCTATTCCAATAAAGCCAAACAAGTAAGGGTGATTTTTTTTTGTTTAAAAAAAAAAAAAAAGAGTAAAGATGAGTTTGTTGAATATATGTAAGTTATAGAAAGTCAAGTAAAATAAAATAAAATAAAATTTTTATAAGGTACATTGTAATTAATTTTTTTTTATTGCTTATAAAAAAAAATAAGAAAGCACAAGTATACAAGGGTTTATCTCGGATTAAAATTTTAATTTTCTCTATTTTTTCTTGCAAACTTTTTTGTCTTAATTAAATTCTTGCTAAAAAAAATTTCCTTTTTATTTATTTTCTTTCATTTTTATTTTTCATCAATTTTTTTTCCCTCATCAAATAGAGGGGATCATTAACTTTTTTAGTGATTATTTGATCTTTTAACCTTTTTTTTTTATAGTTGTTTTTCTTTTCCCTTTGGTGTAATTTTTGCTAAGTTGAAAGTTGATAATCAAAAAATTTAAGTTGAAAACATCACTCTCCAATTTCTATTAATTTTTTTCAACTTATTTTAACTATTTCGCCTGATAAGTTGTAAGTAAAAATTATACCAAATAATTTGACACAAATTATATAAAAAAAAATTATAAATAACTCATAGAATCTGCACCAAACAGACTCAAAAGCTTATCTAACTAAAAAAAACAATTTTTTGTCAGATCTTGAATGAGGTGAGGATTTTCATAGAAAATCAATCATGTGAGTTATCACTAATGAAAATATTAATTATTGTTCTTATAATTTTACAAATTTTAGTATCACATTATTCTTGTCATAAATCATATATACAAGCAAATCATTTTTTATTCCAAAAGTATTGATGGAATTATTTTAAAGTTAATTTATTTACAAATTAAATAATTTTATGTATTTTATTGTAAAAATGAATGATTCTAAAATATTTAAAAAAGGAAGAAGTTTATGTTTGATTGTTTCCTTTAGGTTCAGTATAATTGTCAAAAATTAATTATTGATTGATGATATAATTTATTATTTTATATTTTAATATTTATTATTTTATATTTTAATATTTGTAATGTTTGTCGTTAACTTGTAATTTTTTTTTTTAAACTTCCACTGAGGTATAATTTTTCCTTTGCTTCAAAGGAAGATAGGAACACTTATTAGAAGTACGTGATTCAAAATCTTGCTCATTTTGATGCTGATAAGTATCTAAAAAAATTCAAATTTCATTATTGAAAAAAAAAATCAATATATCTAAAATGGAACAATTCAAGAAATAAATATAAATTTTTAACTGTCATGTGGTAAAAACTTTTTTAGTTGACCTTAATGTACTCTTATCATCGCTTCTAACTAGCAGACAAATTTTTTTTTGAAATACAAATTTTTTATGGAAATAATATTGATGGGCTTGATTTTAAGATAACTTTCAGCTACCTACCATGACTTACTTAAAATATGAATTATCCACTGTAATTCAAAAAAATTACATCTTGTCATTTTAAATTTTAATCGCATAAGAGCAACTTCAACTACATTCTCTACTTTTTACTAGCTAAAGTACAAAAAAAATACATTCTTTATTTTACTTAATTACTTTAACTATTGTGTTCTTCAACCACGCTCTTTATTTTAGCTAATCATTTAAACTAACTTAATTAATAAAAAAATACTAATTGTTGATATTTTACTAAAGAGGAGGGTTGTGTGTTAGGTAGCCGACAGCCAACACATAAAAAAGCCGCTCGGATCTCTTATGAAAATGAATCCTACTTTGAATCGTTTAAATGCTAGGTCATTCCTATCAAGTGACGCGTTGCGCCTGCCTCCGGGTGTTTCGAAAAGTGAGCAAGGGGCGCCGCATCGACGCCTGGGTGCGGTGAAATATGGGCAAAGGTTTCTGCGTTTTTCTGGATGAGCGCGGGTAAAGAAGCTAGTCCAAGACTATAGGTTTAGGATAGCCACTTGGAACATAGGAACCTTAACTGGTAGGACGATGGAATTGGTAGATGTTATGATTAGGAGGAGAGGTAGTATGGCTTGCATACAAGAAACTAAGTAGGCAGGAGAGAAAGCTAGGGAAATTGAGGATACTGGTTTTAAACTTTATTACAGTGGTAAGGATAGACGCAGGAATGGGGTGGGAATCATAATTGCCAAGGGTCTTGTGGAAAGTGTGGTGGCGGTCACTAGGAAAGGAGATAGGATTATGCTAATTAAACTAGTTATTGGAGGGAATATAGTGAATATTATTAGAGCTTACGCCCTTCAAGTAGGGTTAGATGATCAGACTAAGAGGGATTTTTGGGAGCAAATGGATGAGATCTTACAGGAGATACCCGTAGGAGAGAACCTGGTTATAAGTGGATATTTTAATGGCCATGTGGGCATAGATAAAGTAGGTTATGAAAGGGTGCATGGTGGATACGGTTTTGGTGACAGAAATGAGGCTGGAGAGAGAATCTTAGATTTTGCGTTGGCTTCTGACCTGGTGGTGGCCAATACTATGTATAAGAAGAGGGATGAGCATTTGATAACCTTCAAGAGTGGATTAGTTAAGAGCCAAATAGATTGTTTCTTAGTGAGAAAAGTGGACTGCCTAAAATGCAATGATTGTAAGGTGATTCCTGGTGAGAGTCTGGTCTCTCAACATAGGATTTTGGTACTAGATTTATGTTTTGGAGGGCAATACCAAGTTAGGAAGGATGGTGGGCGTCGTAGGACAAGATGGTGGGACTTAAAAGGGGATAAACTAGAAATATTTAAGAATCGAATGGATAAGGAAGGTACTTGGGACTTAGAAGGTGATGCTAACACTATGTGGAATTTGATGGCCAATTGTATGAGGAGAATCTCAAGGGAAATGCTTAGAGAGTCGAAAGGAACGAGACCCAGCTCTAGGGAAACTTGGTGGTGGATGGAAGAGGTCCAAGCGGTAGTTAAGGCAAAAAAAGAGTGCTTTAAAAAGTGGCAGAAGGATAGAACTGAGGAAAACCTTAAGAGCTATAGATTGGCTAATAAGGAGGTCAATAAAGTAGTGAGAGAGACTAAGTTGAAAGTTTATGATGACCTATACACTAGACTAGATAGTAAGGAGGGAGAGAAGAGGGTATACAAACTTATATGGTTAGTTAGAAGCCTCTCATGCATGACAAGCCAAAGAAAGCTTTTGAGTTTGTGAGGGGCCTTTATTTTCCATATCTACTACCAGTTCACTTCCTCTTTTTCTTCATTTAATATAGCTTGGTAAGCTACTGTTGTTGAATAGTTGCCACTAAGGGAGCCTTTCCAATGAGGGGTGTCACTAAAAGTCACATACCTAGGTCTGTATATACTGAGAATTTCCTCTTGCACTAGTTGGGAGATAAGATCTTGAATTGAGGTTAAGTCCCATCAGTTTCAGTTCTTCAATAGCAGATCATTCATTGGAAACCCCAACCTCTGTTTACCACACGACTCATCTTGCCCCTCATCGCGAGAGATTCCCAGAGCACATTCAAAGTCGTTTGGTGCAACAAAGATTGTTATTATTACAGTAATTGCACTTGTTACATTCATGTTGTTGTTGGTTGTTACATGTGTGGTAATCTCGAAAAAGCGAAGGCTTCAAAAATCAAGGATGTAGAAGCCCACAATATACCAAACAGGTCAGTTTTAAAGCTATTGCAGACTCATTGGGCATTTTTTCATAGTTCAAGATAATAGTAGTTTTAGTATATGTTTGTACTTGTGGGGCTAATGGGGTTGTGGTGAAAGAACTAAAAGACTACTTGTTATCAAATTAATAAAAATAAAAATAAATAACTGAATAATGTGTTGTTCTGTACCCATTCCATGATTTATATGTTTCTTTAGGATAAGTTTGAGAGATTCATTTCAGTTTCAAGGATCTACCTTAAGTCCTTATCTTTTTTCTTTAGTTATGGACGAGTTGACGATAAATATTCAGGATGACGTGCCATGGTGTATGCTTTTTGCAGACGATATTGTGTTAGTGGATGAGACTAGAGGAGGAATTAACACAAAGTTGGAGATTTGGAGAAAAACTCTTAAATCTAAAGGATTTCGGATAAGCAGAACTAAGACAGAGTATATGGAGTGTAAATTTAGTAACAGTACCAATGAAAGCAGAGGAGAAGTGAAAATTGAGAACCAAGAACTGCCTAAAAGTGAACATTTTCGTTATTTAGGGTCGATTATCACAACAGCGGGAGAGATTGATGCAGATGTGGCCCATAGGATTAAGGCGGGATGGTGTAAGTGGAGAAGTACGTCTGGGGTATTGTGCGATAAACGAATACCCACTAGACTAAAAGGTAAGTTCTATAGAACGGCTATTAGACCAGCTATGTTGTATGAGACGGAGTGTTGGGCAACCAAGAAACAATATGTAGATAAGATGAGTGTGGCTGAGATGAGGATGTTAAGGTGGATGTGTGGTAAGACTAGACAGGACATGATTAGGAATGAGTGTATTCAGGAATGGGTAGGAGTAGCACCGATAGAAGATAAGTTGAGAGAGAATCGTTTGAGATGGTTCGGTCATATTCAACGGAGACCAACAGAGGCAGTAGTGAAGAGATGCGATACTGTAACGATAGATGAAAGTGTTAGGGAACAGGGTAGGCCTACATTAACGTTGACTAGCGTTATAAATAGAGATATGAATCTACTTAATTTGAAAGAACATATAAAATTGCTACACACACACACACACACATATATATATATATAAAATATAAAATCCCAAATCCAAGATATAAATATACAAAAATCTAAAATATATATATACATAATTGTTTGGAGAGCCTCTGGGGCTCTTCAATTGTAGCCACCAAAAAAATAGGATGGTAAAGTAGCTAGTCCATTGGAGCTCAAAATTAGACTTACATTGACTAAAATGCCTAGCAAGCTTTGCTTGACTATCCCTTTGGAGAGGCTCTAACAAATTACTCATTTTATTAACAAATTATCAATTCAATTAATAGGTTTTAATGGAATAAAAATATATTTTAA